TGCCAGCCGATAAATCCGGGTGGCCGGAGCGGGAGCCGCATTGCGAGCGTGGCAGCACGTGGAGTGGCCTGGAGGTACCAAGGCTTCCCTTTACTGTGGGCTAGTTACCTTTCCTCTTTTTCTTCCCTTTCTCTTATCTTTTTGGCATTACGTGCTCTCTGCTCTGCAAAATCAGCTCAACGTGCTCCTCGGGAGCAAAAAATCTGGTTTGTCCCTGCCCTTTCCAGGTCTGCAGCTGCTCGGCAGCTGTGCTTCAGCCTAGCTCGGGCTCAGCCTGGGACTGAGCAGAGCTTTATCAGTTGAGCTCCGAGGCCTTGATTAGCCTAAAATTGGTGAGGTCTTAACAAGATTAAAATTGTGTCTTCCTGCATCGATCCCTGCAGTGTCAGAGGGGCCGCTCCTCCAGCTGCGCGGTGCCAGGGCAGGCACAGCTGAAGGTCCCTTGGTGCGGGACTGGGGCGGGGGTGTGATGGGGCACCCAAATTCAGGGGTAAGGGTGGCTCAGCGGGGGATGTGGAGGTGCTGGAGAACACCGAAACTATGGAAACGGTACAGGGTGAGTGTTAATATGTGTTATTTAATTGTAGAAACCTGGCTTATGCTGTTCCTTTTTCTTCTCCTTTTTGCTTTATTTGCACTAGTGTTTGAAATTATATTTTTTTTTTAGGCTGACTTGCTGTTTGGCTCATAACCTGGTGTTTCAAAAATGTTTTACTGATTTGGTAAGCCTATCAATCGTAGAGTCACAGCACTTGGTGACAGCGCTCTGACCTCGCCTCTGGAGAACACCAGATGCAGAGGGGCGATGGTTACTTTCTGCAGGGCTTCAAAACCGCGGAGTACCGAGTGTTTCTGCTGCTTGGTAATTGCCAAGTTTCCTCGGGCCTGGGATGGTAAAGCAGAAGCGTGTTGCACAATTAGGGTTAATCATCCAGGAGGAGAAACTACCAGTGGCTCCAGCGCTATTGCAACATTCCTGTTTCTCATTCCCACCCTCCCCGCACCCGCCAGAAGGCTGAACGTCAGACGGGAACGAGCGTGTTCAGAGCCGAGCCGGGCTCCAGATGCGCCCGTGATGCAGGTGGTTGCGGGGAGGAATTTCCCTGCCATCCCCAAGGACCAGGCATGTGGAGCTTTGCAGTGTTGTTCTAAAGCAGACTGGTCTCCCCTGCGCCATGTGTTTGCCTCCCGGCTCTCCTGCGTGGGGATGAACGCGTCGCCCCGTGGCTGCTCCCCTTGAAAGCGAAGTGTGTGCGGTGGGGTTCCCCGCTGTGCCAGGGACGCGTGCAGGCTCCAGGCATCTTATGTGGGGAGAGTGGTGCGAGAGACGGGTTTGCTCTTTTCTGTGAAAGCTCCCCAGCGGTTTCAGGTGTTTCTGCGAGTGCTGGCTGTGGGTCTCAAGTGCTCTTAGGGCCGGGGTGCCTCGCGCGGGCGATGCTCCGTGACTCCGTGGTGTCGGTTACCCGCCTCCCACCCCTCGCCTGTAAATGCTGGCTGCAGGAGATGGAACGCCCTTTCCCCTCCGTGTTTTTAAATAAAGAAGGAAATCCCAGTTGCTTTTCCAGGCTGTCTGTTGGCATTGTGTAATTTGGGTAACGAGAGCCCCTCGAAAGCCCCTGCGGCAGAGCTGCAGCTGGCTGGGCTGCCCACCCCACGGCACTCCGGCCAGCTGCACCGGGGAAAGCACTGAGTGGAGGGCGAAGGGTTTGTGATTTGGTTTGTCACTGCTAGAAAAGAAGGGGACAGAGCCTCACGAGGCGAGAAGCATGCCGTGCCGCCAGGGCTGTGCGGGGCGAGGAACACGGCATGGGAGGGGAAGCCGTCCGTCTCCGGGCGCCGCGTGTTCCCCCGGCCTGCGGTACATGTCTGGTTTTATTGCTGACGATGTTAAGACAGCTCCAGCTGTCCACAGGTAAGTGTGTCCCAATAAAACGCTTGGTTTAAGCTCTTTGTTACTTTTGTATTTTTTTCCCTTCCAACCTCAGTTTTCCTGGGAGAACTGCCTGAGCACGCTTCTTGCGGACAGGCGTGAAGCGGGCACCGGCGCTGCTGCGGCACGCGGGTAGGTTCTGGGTGTGAGAGGGGCCGAGTGCGTGGTGGCGGCGGTGGGGGAGGCACCTCTGCCCTTGCCTGTCCAAATGTGCGGGCGGGAGGAAAGCTGTCGGCCCAGTACCCCTGGTGTTCCTCAGCGCCGTCCCTGGCAGCCCCGTACGCGGAAGGAATTCGAGGTCCCGCGGTTAGCTGCCAGCTGCCGGGCTGAGGGCACGGGCAGATGTGAATGACGATGGGCTTTTGTACATGGGAATCACTATTTTTTTTCTTTCTGGCTCGCTGTGTAATTCCACCCCCCCTTCCCCCATGGGCTTGTCAGCCCCGTTGTTCCACCGGTCAGAAGAATGTGGTAGCTTCATGATGAAGCCTCCCCCACCCCAGGGCCCTGAGACCTATTCAAAGCTGCCAAATTCAGATTACTCGTGACCTAAATGGGATATTAACCCCGTTCCCCGGAGAGGAGGAGTTGTTGCAATAAACCACAAACGAAAACTGGACTAGGCAGAATTCCCGGCCAGACTGAACCCCGACGCAGCTCCGCTGGAGACAGCAGTAACGCAGGCAGGAATCAGCCAAACACAAACGGCTGCAGGGTCCGCGGTTTGCAGAACCGTGTGAGAATGGAGAGCGTACGTCAAACGTGACCGGACTTTTGCAGATACGGATTTTGTGTCTGGTCCTGGCTGTGACTTACTGCAGCTTCCTTTTCCCGTTTTTATTCAGACTGCATCTGGCGGGGCTTCCGCTTCTGCGTGTGTGGTTGCCTGAAGTTCCCACTCATTTCGGTACCGCACGCGCCCCGTGCCGGGGGCTGGAGCCAGGGGGTGACCAGCACAGGGACAGGAGCTGCCCCTCGGCATCTCCGACCCCTTCCCAGCTCTCTGACGGCTCCGGTCTGTTCCTGCAGCTCCGGGTGGAAGCGAGCCTTCCGTCACTCATGAGGCAAGGCTGGTGTTTAGCAGTTTTGTAAACACAAATGGTTACCAACAAACGGTTGTGGTTTTAAAGAATACAACTGTCCGGCAGCAGGGAAAGGGCATGCAGCCTGCTGCCATGGGCAGCACGGCGGAGTACGTCTTGAAAAGCACACCTGCTTGCTGTGAAGGGCAGGGGACAGGAGGAGAAACAGGTAATTTTAAAACAACACGTGCTGGTTGCAGTGTCCTGTAGATGATGTTTCTGTAACAGGAGCGTGGCAGGGAGAGTTACATCAACAGACACAAGCGCTTCTTCTGAGAGGCCTGAACAGTAACTTTATTTGCTTTACTAACGTTCTCCAAAGGGTGCAGTTTCTACTGACCCTAACCCAGTGTCCCCTGCAGCCAGTGAACGTGGCTTTAGATAAGTGCCGTGGAATCAGAGCTCACCACTTTGCCACACTCTCTGTAACATCGCGTTGGGTTACTCAGCCTGAAGCGTTTGCAGAGTCTGGTAGCGCAAAACCACACGCTCGTGGCCTGCGTCTGTCTGCACTCCGCTAACACTGAGAGCGCACGCAGTCAGCGCCTCCCAGACTTTATTAAGATTTGTTTGACCACCTGTGTTTGCAAGGTCTGATTTCTTAAACTGTTGCCGCTTGGGGCGGGAATCCAGATTATTTTAAGCAAGCAAAACAGCTACCGGCCAATTTTGTGTCCCAGGTTTGTACAGAGGAGCTAACAAGAGTAACTGCTCTGCATGGGAAGTCACAGCTTCGTCAGTCCACGTTCGTGCAAGACGGCAGTCTAAACTACAAGAGGGCAGATTTAGATTGGATATTAGGAAGAAATTCTTCATCGTGAGGGTGATGAGGCCCTGGCCCAGGTTGCCCAGAGAAGCTGTGGCTGCCCCCTCCCTGGCAGGGTTCAAGGCCAGGTTGGATGGAGCTCTGAGCAACCTGGGCAGGTGGAAGATGTCCCTGCTCATGGCAGGGGGGTTGGAACCAGATAATCTTTAAGGTCCCTTCCAACCCTTACCATTCTATCTCCAGCCCTGGGGACGCGCCGTCGGTCCCTCGGGGGGCCAGGGCCGCTGCCCTCAGTACACGGTGCACCAGTTGCTGCCGTCGCTGGGCATCAGCCCGCCGGTGATGAGCAGGATCAGGTCCACGAACCACCAGATCCCCAGGCCCCCCAGCGTCAGCAGCTTCCCCACGGCCGTCCCGGTGTGGCCCAGGCAGAACCGGTCCACGCCGAAGCAGCCCAGGAAGAAGGAGTAGAGCAGGGTGGTTATGAAGTAGTGCCCGGTGTACCTGGGGGGGGAGCGG